CCTACATTGAACGAGCGTTTTACAACAACCTCATACGTTTCAATCTAACAGAGTCTCTTGTTCGAACTTAACAACAGTTGTTTCTCGATGTTGCTGTCCGCAAGACGAGCAAGTGGAGAATAGGGTAGGGCTTTTGGAAGGTCAGTCTTGAAAACTACAAGTCCTTCTTTGTGAAGGTTCATCCTGAAAAAAAGGCCGTGCACCTACTTTCTCGCACAACACCCGGAGAGCCAATCGCCGCAACTTACGGAGGTAGCTCAGCGAATGACGATGCCGAAACGTATGCTTAAACAAAAGAAAAATACAGTCTAAGTTGCGACATTAGGCGATGCAAGCTGAGTTGCCTCCGTAAGTTGTTGCGGTGATTGGCTCTCCGAGTGTTGTGCGGGAAGGTAGGCAGTGGAACTAGCGGCTGAAACAGCGTACATTGCGACCTCTGGTGACTGCGAAATTAGCGACGACCTTTTACAGCGTTAATAGAGATGGTGCGATTCGGGGCTAAAGACGTAAGGATATATTGTCATAGATGGAAAAGAGCTCGACAAATGTAAACTGAGAAGAAAGGTTTAATCGGCAAACTTGTGGGGAAAAAAATAAGGAACGAGAGTCGAGACCGCAGAAAAGACGGGCGGCGATTTAGCGGCGTAATAGCAAGCGAGAGCGAGATTGACTCTACAAGGTTACGGGCAGCTCCACTCCTAGTGTGCGTCTGCATCGCGAAAATTCGGCCCAGATGGTTAGAGCATCGAACGTTCGGGGCTTGAGAATGAGCAGGCACTTTCGAGACCAAGAAACTAAGACGAAATTATCAAAGTTACGCTCTGAGTAAGAATATAAGAATAAACGCGAATCCTCTAGAATTTCTTGACCGGGCGCTGCCTGCTCGGCTCTGCGTGCGGCAGTATAGGTCATGCAGTTTTGTAAACGCTTCCCTCTCGGAAAAAAAGAAAAAGGTAAATTGTTGATTACATCTTGTTTTGGTGAAAAAGCATTCAATTAGATTACTCGATTATTCGAGAAGAAAAACATATAATTGATCGCTAATTGAATAAAAAAAGCAACCGTCACTTTTTCCGATTAGTTCGGATTTTCAGAACCGGATAATTGTCTGCCGGCTGAAACACTTTTTTTTTATTTAATTAGAATCACGGGATTGGACACCAGTTATCTTCGTAACCAATTAATTTGGTAAACCGGCCTCCTGCCGGAGACTTGGTTCGAAGATTCCTCGGTACAAAACTTGTACAAAGGGCGCCATCGGAAACGGGAAGTAATCCCCCTCCCCCCCCCCCCCCCCCCTAAAAAAAAAAATATATATATATATATATATATTTGTATATATATTGTGGTATTCTCGCTCACCGCTTGTCCGGTGGAAGAAGCCAAGTCAAGATGGAGACATGTTTATTCTTCGAGCCTGGTGTTCGGTGGCTTGCGCTGCCATGGCTCAACTGTCCTGTCTCCCCGTCACGCGCCTCGCGCGCCGTGCTTTGGCCCCGCGCTCGTTTCTCCCGCGCCGTCCGCATCGTCGCCGAAGTTCTCAGTGTCCAAAATCCCCACATCTTCCCCCCCTTCTGGATTGCTCATGTATCACAAAATCAGCAGGCAGTTCATTACTTCAGACGTTTGCACCAACCGTACTTCGCGGGGCAGAACACCTCACAAATATGATTAACTTCATGTAGCCAATAACCGGGTCCACATCTTAAAATTAAGAAAAAGGGACAATAACAAAGTATCGGTCTGCTTTCCTGCCGGTCTCTCCCCCAAACGAGCATCGTCAGTAGCGCCGCTTAACTTTAAAAAGTCTTCCAGCTCACACCCCGACTAGCTCGCGTGAAGAGAAAGAACGTATGTCAAAGCAGTCACTTTCGCTTTCCAATAAACACTGATATTAAATTAAGGGGAAAAGAGAGAATAGCAAACGGTTTGCCTGTTTTCTGACCAGTCTCCCTTCCCCCAACCGAGCATCATCACTAGCGCCGCTTAACTTAAAAAGTCTTCCAGCTTGCACTACGACTAGATCGGGGGAAAAGGGAGAACTTACGCAAACGCCAGCACTGCCGCTTTAAAATAAACTAAAATCCAGCGATAAGCCCTGCATTCTATAGCCTTTCCAATCTCCTTGACTGATGTGCCAAAAGCAATACAGGAAGAGCAAAGCGGGAGAACCGGACAGCTTAATCTCAAAGCGGATAATTGACGCCTCCCGTGATCGTCTCAATGTCTTCCTACTGGTTCTTGCCTCTCTCGAAGCCTCTCCTTGGCGTCTCTGATCTATTCAGTGTTGCTGCTAAGAGTGCTCCACCGAGATGGCGAAGCACAGCAGAAAGTGAACGTCCGCCGGGGCCATAATTTTGGAGATCGCGGCGCTCGCAGTCAGGGGTCCCTCGCGCAGCCGCCCGTGGACAGCTCGAAGATATTCGCTGCTCCTCTTGCGAAGTCTGGCAGGGCGTTCGACGGGCTGTACAACGGCTGCTGCTCGCAGCAGCCCGAGTAGCTGGAGTAGGCCTTTCCAGCAGGGTCCCCCAGGACTTGCCTTGGCCTGGCAGCGGCATCCAAGCAGGCGTCCATCGCGGATGATGTTAATCTCGTCCATCGTGGCTTTGTTTTACCCGGCCCCAGACAAGCAGCGAGCCCCACGTTGGGCGCCATTTGTGGTATTCTCGCTCACCGCTTGTCCGGTGGAAGAAGCCAAGTCAAGATGGAGACATGTTTATTCTTCGAGCCTGGTGTTCGGTGGCTTGCGCTGCCATGGCTCAACTGTCCTGTCTCCCCGTCACGCGCCTCGCGCGCCGTGCTTTGGCCCCGCGCTCGTTTCTCCCGCGCCGTCCGCATCGTCGCCGAAGTTCTCAGTGTCCAAAATCCCCACAATATATATATAACTTTTTTTTTTTAATTTTAAGGCGTTTTTATTTTGGGAACAGCGCAAGGGACAGACATCGGACTAAGAAATCTGGATAGTCTGCTGCTTTCCCGCATAGCACCTGAAATGAGCTAATCTGTGCAATCTGCGGAGGCATCTCGGCCAATGAGGAGGCTGAAAAGAAGTTTAGGCCTGAGGAAGAAGAAGCAGTCTGAGCTATGGCAGTGAACGTAACGGCTTTACCATGCATGCTCAGTGCCACGGCGCGAAAGATTTAGTGCTATTTGCGAAATCAAATGAATACTTACTGCCTATGATTCCCGCTAGATGGCGTCAAAGTGTTCTCGCTTGGAGAACAAACTAGAGCGGAGCGGGTTTGGCTTCAACTTTTCTTTCATCAAGCAAGGTGAATGGATTAAACAATCACTACCGGGGCTGATGTATGCAGATGATATAGTGCTAATGGCCGACAACAAAGAAGATTTGCAGAAATTAATGGATATCTGTGGTACAGAGGGAGATAAACTAGGTCTTAAATTTAGTCAAGAAAAATCGGCAGTGATGATTTTTAATGATAAAGATGGTGGCGAGCATAGGATACAAGAGGTCATGTTGGAGGTAGTGGATAAGTACAGGTATCTTGGGGTATGGATAAATAATGGTGTTGAGTATCTAACGGAGCATGAAAAACATGTAGCGATGAAAGGTAGCAGGAATGCAGCCGTCATGAAACATAGGGCTCTGTGGAATTACAGTAGGTATGAAGTGGTGAGGGGGATTTGGAAAGGGGTCATGGTTCCCGGCCTGACCTTCGGCAATGCGGTCCTGTGCATGAGACCAGATATTCAAGCAAAGTTAGAAATTAAACAGCGGGGCGTAGGTAGGCTTGCTTTGGGAGCTCATGGAAATACGCCGAATCAGGGGGTACAAGGCGACGTGGGATGGACGTCATTCGAGGGCAGGGAAGCTAGCAGCAAGATAGAATTTGAGGAGCGTTTGAGGGAAATGGAGGAAGAGCAGTGGGCGAGGAAAGTTTTCAGTTATTTGTACATGAGGAATGTAGATACCAAATGGAGAAAGCGAACTAGAAAATTATCAAGCAAATATTTGGGCGGCAGTGGGGGCGCCAACCAGGAATTACGGGTAAAGAAAAGGATAAAAGAAACAGAGAAGGGTCTGTGGGAAACGGGTATGCAGACAAAACCAGCACTGTAGACGTACAGAATGTTCAAACAGGAAATTTGCAAAGAAAATATCTACGATAATTCTAGGGGAAGCTCTTTGTTGTTTGAGGCCAGGACAGGAGTATTGCGGACTGAGACGTACCGGGTTAAGTACCAGGAGATGGACACCTTATGTAGTGTGTGTGGGGAGCAGGAGGAAACGGCTGAACACTTAATACTTTTCTGTAAAGGGCTTCACCCAACAGTTAACAGTGACCGGGCGGATTTAATCAAAGCATTGGGTTTTAAAGACAGTGAAGGAAAAATAGACTCTACACGGGTAGAAATAACCAAGCGGAGGTTGTCAGACTGGTGGCTAAAATCGAGGCAGGGGTGAGATTTAATCTTGGAATTCAAAACATATAATTAGATTTATAATGTTGGCTAGGTGGCGCAAGCCACCGCCCGTTTCACAGGGTTTAGCCAGATCCATCCATCCATCCATCCATTGGCCTATGGGCGGAGCGAAGGCCACCGCCAGCGCCGAATATTCCACCCACGGTTAGAGCGTAAACTAAAAGTGCCACACAGCGTCGACCAGTCAGCCGACCTCGGCATTACAATATTGGAGACGACATTTAAAGCGTGAAGTAAGCGCGTTTCATCTCGCAGCAGCAATGATCGCAACTACTGTATACGCATTCTGCTCTGGTTTGGAGTGCACGTTCGGTTTTTCTGCTGTTGAATATGGACGGGACGAAAACCTCACATGCGCCAGGTTTTCAGTCACCGCGAGTAACACCTTTCTACTCTAGCGACGCTAAAACGGCTTAAATTAGTCGAGTCATATTGTTATCGCTCACGACCACTCCTAGAGGCTGTTTCGCGGAGTGTGGTTGGCCACGAGATCATCGCCGATTCAAAGGAATGAATGGCCAAGCTCTCCCAATACACAGCTCTGCTGTCCGTCGTAAGATACCTCAATTCAATTCAACTTTATTTGTTTCTATTCGTCGAAGAAGCGTGGGAAGAGGGGGGAAAAGCGGTACAAGAACTGTTTAAGATGTTTTGAGGCCCACGCGGTACAAGGTTCCTAAATGACCGCTTACGACGAGCGCCATCACTGTGGCTACTCGTTGCGGACTTGGCGAATCTGGAACTTCCGGAACACTTGGATCACTTTGTCGTAGAGCAAGGTCTTGGCTCCTGACGCGAAGATAAAGTCGGCGTGGTTGAAGTTGGGGAAGTCCACGCGGTGGTCGTAGACGACGTTGCTCAGCCTGTCCCTCAGGTTGTCCAGGTCCTTGGTCGTCGACATCCAGTCTCCGTCGCCCCAGAAGATGGCCACCGGAACCCGAACGTTCTCCAGCTCGTAGCAGGGGGGCCTAGCCTGAACGGGGCCACCGCAAAATAAGAACACAGCCGAAATTAACTGGATCATTGTTGTGATCAAAAAGGTTTTCTTTCTTCATACCTACGGAATGTGCCCCCCCCCCCCCCCCCCCCCTTTCAAAGAAAAACAAAAGTTAGTGAACAGGATGTTGTTTTTTTACTGCAAAAATAAACTACGCATTCCCGAACGCTCATTCTCGACCCATATCTAGCCCTAGCGATCCGAACCCGGTGCCGAAGTTACCGAGAAGCGGCCCTGTATTCCCAAGGAATTTTTTTTAGAAAATCACGTATACTGTATGGATAAGGTAGCGGTTAGTTCTGAACCTTTGACTTCTGTTTCGGACTGGTAGCACTGCCTTTGGGAGCGATCCGTCGTTTATTGCTTTTCAGTACTTCCAAAAAGTAATCAGATTACTCTCGCAATTACTTCCTAATAAATGTAATCGAATCATTCCAAAATTACTCCAAAACATAATCGATTACAAGTAATTTGACTGAGTATCGCACGAATTCGGACTTCACGTACTCGGTAAAGCTAAATTAACGCTTAGGAACAGAACTGATGCAACGCCAATGCATGCGCGTTTCACACACAGCGGTTCTGCGCCAAACGCGCTGCCGCTAGTGGCGGCGCCTCGGCACAAATCGCAAGGTTTAATTTCACATGCGTCGTCCGTGAGCGCTTTCTGCCACTGCGCCGCGCCGCTGCGATGCCCAACGTTGCTTACAGCAAGCGGACGCTCACAGCGTATTTTAGCGGTCTCCAATTATAATCTAACTACCTTAATTTCAGTTTCCTTTTTATGTTTACTTTATTAAAACAAAATAACCATTAAAAAAAGTAATAATTATGTTTTATTCCTTTATCTACTTTTGAAAGTTCGTTGTTGCAGAGGGTGAAATATCGGATGGAGAATGCATGAGAATGCGACTGTTTTGATAGTTGCAATTTTCAGGGCGCTGTTGAGGAGGGATTCGAAGCCGGTGTCTTCAAGTTCTGCGCTGTTAGGAGCTTCTTAGAATTCGTTCCAATGTAGGTACGGTGTTGGCCGCACGTTTGTTGCTTTTGAGGGTGCTCCAACACCCGATCTCCACCTTCTCAAGCTCTGGGCCAAAAGACTGCAAGCTGTACAAAGATATCGTAACAGGCCAAAAGACCCCCAAGGCAGACGCAACATGACCAGGGCTACGGTGGAAATAGCGAGGGTCTACGCAGAAAAATTTGACCAACCCAGATGGCTTGATTACAGCGCACCGCTCTCCAAGAAAACATCGATAACAAAACGGTGGGTCACGAATCGCGCACTTCTGGGCAAGAAGAAATGCAAGGAGGCAACATTAGCACTTGCCCTCAAGCTCAGCCAGACAGAGGAACAACTCGCGGGAATGGCAGGGGACCTTTCCTTTCCCAAGCCCGATCTGCCTAATCGCCCTTCGCCGTACGACCCGGAACTCCTCCGGATTTTGGCTCCGGATTTTGGCATGGACCGGCCCTTCACGCGGGGTGAGCTTGAAAACGCTTTCCTTCGCGGAAAGGCCCACACAGCCCCCGAACCCGACAGGATCACCATTAGTATGCTCAAGATCCTCACCGATCTCACCAAGTCCGAGCTTTTGGACTGGATTAACGACATCTGGGAAACCAGAAAGCTCCCCGAAAGGCCGGAAGCACTATCTCGTAATCCCAATCCCTAAAGCGGGAAAGGACAAGGGTAATCTCACCAACTACAGACCCATCTCCCTCACATCACGCGCCTGAAAGATAATGAAACGCATGGTACTTGCAAGGCTAGAATGGCTACTCGAGTCCAACAGAGCTTCCCACCCAGCCCAAACGGGTATCGAACCGACCTTGGCACCCAGGAAATCAGAGCACTGATATCAGAGGACATATAATTCATAGCATCAAGCCTAACCGCTCCAGAATCATAACAGGCGACGTCAAAAAGGCTCTCAATTCTGTCCCACACTCGACAAATACGGGAATCACAGCGCCTAGGCATTAATACCGGGAGATTAAACTTTATTAATTAAGTCTTTCCTCGAGGGCAAAGCCTTTTCGGTACGTTGCAGCACCCATGGCGGTGAACCCAAGACGAGCCTAGTTGGTGTCCCACAAGGCTCCGTCCTCTCGCCGATGCTTTTCAACATCGCGATGGCGGCCCTACCACACGAACTCGGGAAAATTCCCAGGCTAGGCTTCACGTAACACGCCGACGACTTATCAATCTGGACCAAAGGCGAAGCCATCGAGAAGCAACGAGTCACACTCCAAGCGCCATTGACATGATCGAAGCTCATCTCCACAAGGTCGGCCTACATGCCTCCCAGGAGAAGACAAGCTACCTCATCGTAGCACTCAAACGACAGCGAGAAACGAAGATTGGTAACCAACTCCATCTCGTTCTTGCAGGCAAGAGAATCCAACCCTCTGCGTCTGTCAGGATCCTCAGGCTTACCGTGGAGGAGACAACCAGGGGGACATCTGGCTTCAAGCTTGCACACATACAGTACCGCAACCCTGCCCTCGATTCCATCGGAAGAATCTTTAGCGCCAAGGGCGGTGCAACGGACCAGATCATCAGTCGAATGGTAAAGGCACTATAGTAGTTTCCCGAATCTGCTGCCGACCCCGACTCTACTGGCTCACCAAGGCACAGTAGCAAAAACTGGTGTCCCTGAACAACCAAGCCACGAGGATCCTCACGGGCCTCCGTCGGTTCACCCCGATCGGGAGACTGAGGGAGCCACGCGGGGATCAGCTCACTTCAGGATACAGTGGTCGCCCGCAGGGTCGTAACATGGCGAACGTCTCAAGCACTCCAAGCAAGGACGGGAAATCCTCAAACTGTTGTGGCGCGCAACAGAAGGCCTTCCCGACATTCCCGATCATATCCCTCCTTAGCAGGATCACACGGACATTACCGGAAATAAGCAGACTGCCTGAAAAGGTGACGCTTCCCAGCAGCAGGCGCGCATCACAGAAGCGTGTAAGATTTGCCAGCTGAACGAGGGAAGAAATATATAATTAAGATAGAGACAATTGGAACATATACAGATGCACTCCGCTGGACTAACAACCATTTACTGATTGACATATTTTCCTTCGGCGACTTTTTATTTACTGAATAACTTATGTTCCTTCGTCGACTTTCATTATTGCCTAGATAAAATGGTTCTCCCTCGTCTTCATCACTTCATCACGTCATCTGTGAACTCAGAAGTGCACTCCAACGTGGTTGACACCTGGACCGATCCTACTCACATCATGGCCCCATAAACAAACGCAGCCGCACAAGATACCTCTGGAAACCGCGCCGGTCTCCGTTCCAGCTCTCAACTCCTCGGCCACGACTGCACTCCCAGCACGAGCATTCACCGGAGGGGGCGAACTCCGCGATTCAGCAAGCCCTCAAAACCGCCCCAAACTCAGAAATATCACTATCTCGCGTGCTCCGTGTCTTCTCGGACTCACAGGACGCAGTGGCGGAGTGCAGAAAAGCAAGAAGTCCGAGCCGCATAGTTTGGGCAATAAAATTGAAAGTCGCTTACAACCCCCTGTAACACCAAATTAGAGCGCAGCTCTTGAGGAGGAGGAGGAAAGAATACTGAGGAGAACGTGTATTCCTCCTCCTTCCTCCTCATCACGTGACGTCATCGCGATGACGTCATCGGCATCGTCAGTGATGACGTCACGAATGACGTCATTAGTGACGTCATTGTGGTGATGACGTCGGTGTGAAGCCGTTCAAGGAATGGAACCACCGGTGGACGTTGGTGGGATCCGGAGGCTTCTCGGGGATGGTGAACCACGTGGGCAGGTTCTTACCACACCTGTCGAACACGACTGCTCCTCTTCGTGCCTTGCTGATCAAGAACAGTGCCTAGACCTGGGGCCCGGATCAACAGGCTGCTTTCCTGAACTTAAAAAGGATGCTGTTCTCGGAGGTCTGCATGGCCAGGTAACATCCAGCGCTACCTACTATCGTGTCGGCGCGGCGGACGCCAGCTTGTTCGGACTTGGTGCGATACTCTTACAAGACCAGTCTTCGGGAGAGCGTCGGGAGGTGGCTTTTGCTTCCGGCTGCTTAACCCCCTCCGAACAAACGTACAGCCAGACGGAGAAGGAGGCTTTGGCGATTACCTGGGCCGTTCAGCGATTTGATAAATACTTCCGAGGTCTACAGTTCGCGGTGTATACCGACCACCTGCCCTTGTCGTCTTTTTTCGGCAGCATGGACGTAGACATGCTCCCACAAGACAGTCCCCTACGAAAACCATGCCGCTGGTTGGAACGACCTTACCCTGTTTCCAGTCAGATGGTACAGGCGTCCTTCGATAGTGACTACGAGAATATTAGGCAGAAAAATTCACTAGAAGTTGCTTTGGCATACTGAAGAATTTTGGCGTTGATGTCGTCAGGTCCTCCAGAGCTTGTCAGTTTTAAGTTATCAAGGAGCTTCGCTATTCCAGCACTTGAGGTATCATCAAAATCCATAGACTCGCACAAGAATGCTCGTAATATAGGGACGTCGGCGTCTTCTACTTAGAAGACAGACGAAAAATAGTCGTTTAACATCGTGGTACAGTCCGTTTCAGATATTGGAGATCCATCTTCGTCAGTTAGTTGGATAGAAGAGGAGTGATATTTAGGAGATATTATCTTCTAGAATTTTGTAGGTCTGTTACTCAAGATACTTGAAAGGTCCTCAAAAAAAGAACTTATGTTTAGCCAGACGAAGGTTTCGAGTGTAGATCAAAAGTAGTCGCGCCAGACAGCAGCGCTGACTGGCACGACTACTTTGTATCACTAATACAGTGCAAGGTTGTATCACTAATTCAGTGCAAGGTAAGCAGTGGCGTAGCCAGGGGGGAGGCTTCTGGGACTTCAGCCCTCTGCGATCCTTCCATCCACACCGCAAGTTATGGAAACCCCAGCCACCTTAATTAAACCCCCTAAAAAAAGAAGAAAAAAAAATTCCTGGCTACACCACTGAAAGTCAGCGCTGCATGAGCAAGGCCAGCGCTACTTCCAGACCTGTATGTGCGAGAAGGTATATCGTTCCGCCATTCCAGAACTCTCGCGAGGGTGCCGCCATTTTTTGTGCTTCTTTTGACAGTTACGATTCGGACTTTTTCTAACATTTTGTGGAGAACGCTTCAGATTAGTATACCCATGCTTTTGAGCACCCAGATGGCTGATTTGTCTTCACTCTGAAACGTTTCTTATTTCGTTGCTGTAGGTTCGGCCAGTCAACGGGCTTTCGTGTACTGCGCCGTAGGCCTCCTTCGCTACTGCGCATGCGTATTAATGGCGGCGTCTCGCGTACTGTACATCCTACCCATCGTGCGCAGCACGCGTCGCTAAGAGCATTGCGAAAGCGACGACAGTATACGCGTGATGTTACTGTATACAGACCGAGAAGCGACTCGATACTTACGGTTCCATAGACCCGCGAGTTCTCTTTGCGACCGTAGCTGAACATGCAGAACCGGTTGTTGTTGATCAGCTGTCAGAAGAAAACGAAATGTCGAGCGTAATCTAATATTTTTTTGCTAAGTCATACAAGTGAGCTTGTTCCGTCAAATCAAGTATAAGAACAGTAGGCAATGCGTTTTCGTCTTTGTCTGTTCTCGGGCAGTACAACATATCAGACAATGCCTGCTCAACGCGTCACCGTCAGTGGATCCCCGACCGACCCGCCCCGAGCGGCGAACACGCCGAAGTTCGACGGAAGTCGCCGCAAAGCGGCAGACCCGTCCGTCTTGGCGTCGACGCCTGCTAGCGTTGCGCTCGTTGTGAGACGCTCCAAGACGCGCTGGCGGTGACGCGGACGCAAGCTACGCGGAGCGCAAGTTCGTCTGCTTCTTTTGCAGGGGTTGAGGGTGACGTCATAGCGCCGAGCCAATCAGAGTTCGGCTTCTTTCTGACGTCACCCTCAACCCCTGCAAAAGAAGCAGACGAACTTACGCTCCGAATAGGCGGCACTGCGTGGGCCCACTGTAATGGCGTTTCTCTTTTTTTTTTTTTCTTGGGAGGTTTTTTTTATTTTTTAAGGGTCATTGGCTGGGAACATAGTCGCTAACGAGCCAGGGCAGATCGTGGATTATGACGATACACGCTCGACGATTTTGATTGGTTCCTGATTGTTCTCGACGGTAAGAGACCTGCGCTCCGATTGGCTGCACGCAACGATGACCAGGGCTGGCAACGACCCGTGGTTCATCTAAATCGGGGGTTCTCAACCGTTGATGTTTCGCGGACCTTTTGTGGATCGGCGCAGATGATGGAGGACCCCGTTCGTGTTAATTACGATATTCATTTAATACGTAGATATAACTAAGAGCTAGTGTGAAGTAGACTTCTCTCGTCGATCTACACGAGAAAACTCATCCGATAATGAATGTTTCTTCTCTACATGAAGAAAAGAAATACAACTTTTATTGTCGCGGACCCCTAGAATGCCTTCGTGGACCCCCATTCGAGAACCACTGATCTAGTCGTTAATGATTTAGGCTCGCGAGCATAAATTGATTTCCATCCGTACTAGAGCGCAATTCGGGTCTGTAAACGAGTAATGTGAGAGGGGAAAGAAAAAGAAAAAGCCGCCTGATGCGCGTTTGCATTTCGGAACTACCCAAAGACTAACAGAACGGAGCGCTCCAGCAACTGAGCTAACCGGGAGTTAGCCGTTTGTAAAACATATGGATGCTTCAGGGGAGCTCCGGTGGTCTATTAAGCCAGCCGAGCTAAACGCATTGTCAGAATTCATGCTTTACTCTTATCTCTTCGTTCAAAATTGCTATTGAGAAAAGAGAAAGGGATGGTTATGCTAAAACCAACGTTACTAGAACCACTCAGTTGGGAAACTGCCATAGAGACTGCTCCGAAAAAGTGGCCCCGATCTGTCCTCCAGAACCGAGCTAATGGCGAACACAACGCCGCCATTTCTCCCGCAGCGGCCACTCAAGGAACTACACGTTACTTCTATTTTGGCTTTAACCGGCCATTTTGGCGCCGAAACAGATGCAGCGGAAGAGGTTACAGGGGTGCCACCCCCGTCTCCCCAGCGGACGCGCCGCGAATTACTACCGAAGTTAAAATGCACCTAGGTCGGGACGCGCTACCTGAAAGCACCGCTGAGGCATGGTTGTATAAAAACAATATTAATTGTTCCGCAAAACCTTGCACACTAAAGATTATAAAAACATCACGCGCCCTTCATTTTGTACTAATCTCCAAAAAATTTCATGCAAAAAGAGTCTTTTCCGTTTGTTTTTACACAAAAACATGCTTTCTAAAAGCTCAAGGTAACCACAGGACAGACCAATGATGAAGAGTGGCGCTGTTGTCGTATTTAGCTCGGTCTCGGTGGACGCCAGCGGCCCAGGTTTCGACGGTGAGTTTCCCAACGGAGTGTTTTAGTAACGTTGGCCAAAACCCACATTTACGTTTTCCCGCGCTCTCCAACTGGGTGACGTCACAGGTTGTATAACTTGCCAGGCCAGCAGCCAGTCTAAACAACACAGCATTTTGCGCATGTTTCTTTTTATTATTATATTTTAACTGGCGTGAGCTTACCTTGCATTGATTGTGCACCAGCAAAAGTCTTGTTACGTACCGTAGAAAGCAAACTGTAATGCCCTCTCCACCCCCCCTTCCCATAATGCCCCACGGTCATTACATTGTTCGTGCTGCGAGTGTTGCGTATACTGGCATTTTTGTAAAGTAATATGCTTTTTCTTTTTTTTGCTATTGCCTCGTTTGTTATCTTTCCTTACGCCACACTGCATGGTTTTAGTTGCCTTGGCCTTTGCATAAGCGGCCGGCACGTAGATTAATAAATAAAAAGAAAAATACAAATTTACAACATATGACGTCACGTTGTCAGTATTGCCAGGAACCTTTCAGACCAAATCTAAAATTTCAATAATTTCGCAATAAAAAAGGAAAAAAAAGGGAAATAAAAGGGAATTAACTTGACTAAAGTCCGTTGCAACTCAAGAAGGTAGGGCAAGAGAAAGGAAGGCCGGGGAGGAGGAAGCAGACGGAGAAGAGAGGCAGAAACCTCCTCCTCTTTATAGCGTTCAGTCTGCTTCCTCCTCCCCGGCCTTCCTTTCTCTCGCCCTACCTTCTTGAGTTGCAACGGACCATAACGATTTGTGTTGCTATGGTCCGGCGTTTTGTTAGTGGAGAGTTTTAGTAGACCGTTCGGACGGCTCCAAGAACTATACCCGATAACAATACCACGAATGACCAAATGCGTGTATCGGTCACCGTTATCGTAGTCGCCGGAACGATCCTCTAAAATTGCCCAGTGAATATATAGTTGGTATAATAGCTACGAGGACCACGTTAACGTGCGAGCGGGTAGTTGCAAGCCCACCTGACTGAAGTGCACCATATTCTTGACCGATGTTCCTGCTGGCGTATGGGCGAAAATGACCGGAAAGCGACTCTGGAAAAAAAAAAAAATAAAAAATAAACAAGAAAAGAAAAAAAAAAGCGTAGATGGTTGACAGTTTGGCTTACTGCCCGAGAGAGGTCAGATATACAGACTCGTTTTAATGCGGCAAATTCTTACGACCGACTGCGTCACGAACTCTTGCGGTCTCTTATACGACGAAAGAATGTATACTGGCGCCATAAATTGGCTTGCCACGAAATGCTTCTGTTTTCAGTCTATTTCCTAATTTTTCAAGCGTCACTCTCTCACTTTTGGTTCGGAAAACTTGCAAATGTTATAAAGGATTGTCGCGCATTTATGGAACGTGGGCAGGCTGCGGCCGTAAGGACCAGCACACTTGGAACACCTCGCAAAATTCTCGTTCTGATCGATCTGGAATTAGACACGCGAAAGTCGTTTCACACACACATACACAAAAAGAGTTTTATGTCTATATTTTTTAGAGCTCAACTCGGAGCTGGTGAAACGTTAAAAATAGTGCAAAAGTGGCAGGCCATGCATTTCCGACGTCCCGTAACGGACGGTCGACATCTGCTCTCTTGCTCTGCGAGCTTGCCGCCACGTGGTCGTCGTTCACACATTTCCCGGAGATTTTTAGGATCCCGCTAGTCGTCGCCAGCCTCTATTGGGCGTTCTGGGCGTTTTTTTGCGTTGGGCAAGCCACCCGGGAGCGAGCTGGCCAACTCCGCGTACCCTGTTGATCATGACCGTCTCTGGCCCGATAAGGGAGAAGTAGGCTTTGATGCAAGCCTGGCTGGTTGTGGCCGAACTGCACGCCGTGCCGGCCATCTTCTTGACGAACTCCGAGTTTGGGGAGAACTCGCGGATGCCCATCGTGTCGGCCGCCGCCTGCGTTTGATAACCACACAAACAGCTGACAGTTTACCACAACCTCCTTTCCCCTCGTGTCCACCAGCAAACAAATGTCGACACAGAACTCTGGACAGCTACCGCCATCTATGAGCCATGGTGGAAACCTCTCCGGCCTTTCCCCTCTGGCTTGCCGACTTGCGGCCGGCCATCACTTCATTCCCACCGTAGTACAGCTTCGCTGGTCTTCTTTCTTCACAAAAGTGGAAAGGCCGAAAGTTTTTAACCTCACGTATTTGCCTCCAAATATGTCCATCGTTTGAAATAGTAACCCAAACTGCAAGTCACCATTTTTTCCCCACAAAGTTATAAAAGATTTATTACTTGGTCTGAGAGACTGGGAGGCCCTAGTAGAACATTGGAAACGTTTGGTCAGGTTCTGTAATATGGGGCCATTGCACCTTGTCTCCGACGGGCCACAAAAAAAAGTTCGATGATGGCCAAACTCGCAACAATAAAAATAAGAGAGCAAGAAAAAAAAAAAAAAACACGAACAAAACATTGTGTTTTTTTATACTGCCTGCTTGACTTGAAAGTTATGCTCTCCGGCGGGGTGACGTCGCCGGAAAAACAAATTGACCTCCCCCCCCCCCAGCCTCAGCGCGGAAAAACAAATTGAACGTTGGTTTTGGCATCGCCTTTTTTTTGCCGCTTTCCTCGTTAGTTATTTTGAATATAGAGATAAAAAATAGCATTCCGGGCAAAAAGTGAAGCCTGGGTTTCACGAAAATGTGTTTAGTTTGGGTAGCTCGAGAAAACGCCGCCTTGGAAGTGGTTACGCCAGGGTTTTTGTACCGCTCCTCAAAATGTTGTGCATGTAGCGTGTTTTTGCTTGGTTTTTTTTTTTTTTTTTTTTTTTACATTTTCGCCTCTTGATTTCTATGACACATGTTTCAGAGATGGAGTAACCGAAAAGGAGCAGCGAGACAAGAGGGCGTATTTCATTGTGGCATAATTATCTGATCACCTAAACCTAAACTCTATAGCTGGCCGTTTGTTTTTGGTTTTTTTTTTTTTGTTTTTTTACTTGTCCAGTGAAATTTTAGGAGCAAAAAAAACCCTCGACTTTTCGGAAGATACGTATGAGAAACATTTCGACGCTAACCCGAAAATACCCGTTTCTTGTTTCGTTTGTTTCGCGTCTTTTAGGGTACGCACTAGGCTCAAGGTTCAGACTTTGAGGAGAAAAATAGAAATATATATATTCGGTCCCATTGTTTCGTGCGAGGCCGATTGAATCACACTGATAACGTGAGTGTCAAATCTCGGGGTTGAATCAAAAATAACATCAAGGTTCCTCTGTTCACTTACACGTGACAGCAGTTCGCCATGATAACTACAGTATACGCAAAACAATATAGCGTGGGTCTTGCGAGACTATGCCATAACTTTTGTTTCAGAATGATTCAAACAAAGTTCATTGTCTGAACACCAATGACCGAAGCAATATGCGTCATTCTGAATCGTGCTCAAATCTGATAATACTACTACTACTACTAATAATAATAATTGTTCATTTTTCAGTAACCCAGAAAAGAACAGTGAGGTTTTAGTGTCACATATATACACGATTTAATTTTTTAAAATTCTATAGTACCTATTTGAGACACGGGTGCTAATATGACACAGCGCATAATCAAGATAAAGCTTGTAAATAGTGAATTCGCCGATAGAGGTACGCCAGCGATTGAAAATGCTCACAAAAGAATTCCCCGCGCCTATCGCTTTCTTTTTCTTTAGGGGAAGGGGGGGTTTATTCTATTTTGAACTGTCATTTGCTGGGAGCCTTCGAATGTTCACCGCAATTCGTGTTCTAAAGGCAAAGTGAACTCACGAATCTTCTCTTTCTCAGAGTGCGTACAGTTCTCATTCATCGCAATGAATAGACCCTTCTCAAAAGTCTGCGCCACCGCCTGTCTGCCATTGCTTGATCACGTGCTCTGAGCATGTATTAGACGCGAGGGCTGCGTCAGTGTTCGGCGAGGGCTCGGATCCAATCACACGCTTCGTGCCAAAGAATCGATGGATGCTAACGGCCGTGCCCTTTATAACGGGCGGTAGCTTGCGTCACCTAGCCTAGAAAGTAGAAACCCGAAGTAGAATTCCACCGTCGGGCCGCCGGCGGGGCGCCGCCAAGCGGCGTGTACGGGCGGGCCAAGTGAGTTAATATGCTTTAATGAGCCATCCGGAGACTTTTGCCGCGGAACGGCGCGTAAACGAAAAAAAAAAGGGGGTGGGGGGGGGGGGGGGGTTCACACGCCCCAGTGACACACCTACCCCCCCCAATGCACCTCCGAAAAGGAGGGATTTTTTTAAGAAATGATGACCATCAATGTAGCTCAATAGACTTTTGAAAACGGTCTATTGACTGCTGCCGGAAATTTATTGAATTGGGTTCGAAAAGTCGTTTACCCGGTGTCCGGTCCCGCATTGCTTTTGGCAAAAGGTTTCAGTTTTACCGACGAGCTAAAAACATTAAGTTACTATCTTTGAAAATGACACATCGAATCGTATGTCGTATAGGAAAGCTCACTTTGATCGAAAGGGCAAGGGTCGCCAGTTTTCTGGCCGGACCTTTAATGTGTCCCAGCGCCGTAACAGGAGCCAGGGCCGCGAACAGCGCAACCTGCGAAACACGACCAGATACGCACTTCACTAAGAGAGTACGAAAAATAAAACTATATATAAAAACAAAAACTTGTCTGTTTTTTTTTTGTTTTTACTTCGGGACGTGGCCTATGACGCTTCTTGCCCGACCCAGACTGCAAGCATTCTGAAGTTTAGCGAGACTAGTACACGTAGCAGATCAGCGGACGCGTCCGTCTTGTCGTCCGCGCTGGCGGCGACGCGCGCTGGCGGCGACGCCGACGCCGGCTAGGCGGCGCTGCCTGGTTCCGCTGGGTGGCGCGACCCGCCGCCCGATTCAAAGGGTTCAGCCTCATCCATCCAATGATGACGTTTGGGAAGGAAAGGCGCGCGCCTTGTTTTTTTCCAGGTGGTGGTGCCTGTCTCGCGTGGGTGCGTATTTTCGGCACCGATTTGATGACCAATTAAGGGGAATGGCCAAGGCCGTCACAGACGTCAAATTATCGTTTTCTTTTATTTTGAGGTCTAGGACATCACAATAATATTTCAACACGATTTATTTTGGATGCCGCGGACTGCATTTTGAAATGTCGGTCGCTCGACGTGTGTGTGGTCGGGTGGCAACGCGAGTTGAGCTGACATCAAAATAACGGCGAATATTATTGTGACGTCATAGACGTCAAAATAAAGGAAAGCGATATTTTGACGTCCGTGACATCATTGGTTACGCCGGCTGGGCGCCAAATTGGTGCCGAAAATACGCAGCCGTGTCGCGTCGGCCTCTAGGATAGATACTCTGCATAGGACGCATAGGACGCCCTGCACAACGGCCTCGCTATTCAGGAGGCATTGCGCAGAACAAGGTCAGAAAGGTAGGCGTAGGAATACCTTTGCGTTGTACTCGGGCTTCGCGGAAAGTAGTCCGAACATGATGAGCGCCCCCTGGGAGTATCCGGCATAGTAGAGCATGGGCTGATGCGTGACCCCGAGCACCAGGTCAATCGTGGCGGGCAGGTCGAACTCGATCATCTGGTCGAAGCTGTCACGGGGCCGTCAGCAAACATGTACTACCTGGTTACTTTTTAAAGGAGTCATGAAACGCTTTTCCAACTTTTTCCTGTTTAACTTTCCTCCTCAACTCATAAATAGCGTATTCTACCAAACAGTTCAAGAAGATGGAATGGGGGGAGTCCGCTCTGGCTCGAACTCTCGTTTGTGTACCCGGGCACAGCAATTCTCCCCATAGAAGATTAGCCCGTCGCTAAAAATTCCGACAAAAGTTGCTTTCCCCACCCCGTTCATCCCGAAGCTGACAGTGCTGTGGAAGCTACGTGCTCGTTGGGCCAGCCACACATTTTTGCCACGTGATCACGCTCTCTCGCGCGCAGAGAATGAGGTCAGGTGATGAAAGGGAGGCGGCTGATTGGTCCGGCAAGCGCGTAGCTTCCACCACAATGTCAGCTTAGGGGTGAAGGGATTAAGTGAGGTACGGTGCCGGTGTGACGTACGTTTGGGCCCGGTGACGCGCTGAGGGGACCGTGGATGTATCACAGTGAAAAGGCAGAGAGCTTACGAAGGGAAAGGGGTACGAAATAGTCCGTTGTGTTTTCAAATTTTCGTACCGAAATTCAAGCTTTTGACTTTCTGCTTTTCTATGCACTGAACGATGTGCTATTAGTAAAATCCCAATATAAACTGATTTATTCGAGCCCAAAATTTGTTTCATGGGTCCTTTAAGGAAGAAAACGAGTAACGTATTTTTATTACTTTTCTGACGAAGAATAAGGAAGATTTAGTTACTTGTGGAAGGAATGTGTATGCAACACAACTACCCGACATATTTCTCGCCCCAGCTCGCGCCTGTCATTTACACGACAAGAAAACGCTCAGTGGACCATAAGAAAGGATGTGCACAGGGTATAATAATCGGGGAGACGGCGGTGACTGTCAATTTGTTTGTCAATAAAGCTCTCTGGACCCGATGGGTTTCCACCCTCGCCAACCCAACCGACGCTCCCTCACGACTCAACCGCAACCAATACCCAAATTGACCAATGAGGGGGCGCCGGTAGAGGGGGCGCCGGTATAGGGGCCTCTGTTGCCGGGTATGTAAAGGGAGGACGCAGTCGGCGCCTGACAGCCCAAGGGAGCAAAGACTCCTTGGAAGAGAGCAAAAACTCTTTGCGTACGCACGCAATTTCCGAAAAAAATAGCGTACGCTAAAATAGCGCGCGCAAAGTGCAAAGCGTGGTTAGCGTTCCGCGCATGCGCAGTGGCGACGACGCTATTCTTTGCGTACGCAAAGCGTTGGTGTGCGCTATTCTAAAACTCTCTAAAGAAGCCAAGAAACGCAACTGCTTGAAAACGAAACCGAAACTTTCGCACGGAGGGAGATCGGAGCGTCGGAGTAGGAGTAGACGTATAATGGTCGGATATGCAAAGTTTCTCTTGATTCCTAAACGAATAATGCCAGCGTCCAAGTATACCTTCATATCAAATTGTTAGAGAGAATTGTAGAGAAGATTGTGTGTTTCTTGAAAAAGATTTTGGTCCCCTTCTGTCCGGTCCGCTTTTCTATAGGCCTCAAATAATGCGGGCGAATCTTTCCTTTTGGCCGTGTTCCAAAATCTACCCGATCTTACTCCAGCGTAAGGGTTTCATACCTTGGCGTTCAAAAACCTAACCGCGTCCAGCGTTTTTCAGTCTGTGCTGTCACATGACACGACTCGCCGGAGTAGCTCGGATCCATTTGGATAAGATTGGGAACACAGCCTTTGTCGCATTTCCACTTCTCCGCTTCCGCAAATTATGAATGTTGTAGGCTGGACCAGTTGCTTAGAGCTCACTTTTTGAAAGAAACCGAAAATAAAAACGGACCAGTACAAGCTGAACTATGCAAGACGCTTGAAGAGAGCCTGTCGTAATGAAAATGAACTGCTCTAATATAGTAAGTCGGGTCAGTCGGTTCATAATTTTGTAGCGTTAGCTACACTGGCCGAGGTTGAGCAGTTTCGCGTGGCCCTCATAATGAGCCGTGCTCATTATGCGGAGCACGTGGCGGCGGTGGCGGAGCTCCGCATAATGAGCACGGCGCACGGCGCTGCGCGCTCCGCATAATGAGTACGGCTCGCATAATGAACACTTCTCATTATGAGAGCCACGCGAAGCCGCCGCCGCGCGCTCCGCCGCCGCCGCGCCCGCCTCGCCCGTATTGCCGGCCTGCGCGTTCCAGAGGAGTGACGTCATAGCCGCGGCAGACGCACTAGCGCCGCCGCGTGCCCAACTGTGCGCCTCCGTTGCGCAGTAGCCAAGTCTGACGCTGCACCGGAGCCGCTTGATAGCGCCTCTCATTTTGTGCGCATAAGCTCACGCTACGTATATCCTAAGCCACGCTACGTATATTTCATTTCCTTTTGAAAGGCTCCGAAAAAACAAGAAACCAGGACAAGCTGACTCGGCGTGGCGCCTCGTATTGTTCAGGTTGTCCCGGTTTTTTATGTCCTTTCGGCGCTCCTCAAAACGCGCAGTGCTCGGTTTCTAAACCCTGTTTTTATCTTCGCACAGAAATGAGACAAAAACACGTAATAATTTTACACACCAGTGCGATGCAATATAGACTTCTATTTCCAGCAAGCTGCTTTCCGCCATGCTTCTATGTCATCCTCCAGGCCGCGAATGTTTGTGCACAGTGATTAAACTATTTACGTCTGAATTGACATGCACTATAAATCTGGTACTCGCTCTTAGAAACATCATGTTAGTGCACATAAATTCCTCTAGCGTCTGGCCTTCTAATCGCGTGGAAGGAAAATGGGAATATCCCGGTCATTAAAATAAATACAACCTATTTCTCCCTTTGAATCGACGCACATCTGTGGTATCACCGAACATACTTTAACCATGGAATCCTAACAAATGATTAGCCTGGACGATTGACCGATTAAGCTTCCGATTAATCAATTAAGACTTTAATCGCGGTCAATCTTTTTAACCAGTTAATCGTTTTTTTATTTGGTACCCTAAGAAATGTAAACTACAAAGTTTCTTTATTTACTTCATATTACTATTACTATAGCACTTTGTCAACAAACAAAATAAATCGCTACTGCCGGAGAATTAAAAGAAAAAATTATTTGCCTTGGAATTAGAGCAGCAGCCAGTGAGTGTCTTTGAATCGCCTGTTAACTTCACACCGAACTACATATCCTCGGTACGAAATGTACATTGCGCCGTGTATCAGATGAAACGAATACGTCGAAGGTAAGTGAACAGTTTCGTTTTTTTTAGGCATATCATACCTGAAAATCAGCGCGACCGATTAATCAATTAATTAATTGATTAAACGTTGGCGATTAATCGGGTTAAAATTTTTAATCGACGCCCAGGCCTAAGAAATAAATGATTGATGATGAAATTGATTGGAGCGCAACAGCAGAGCAACATTATTTAGGTTGCAAATAAACAGGGCGACGTTCATGCGATGTTTCCTCCCACGTTGGAATTTGGTGAGGAAGTCACGTGGCTACACCCGAGCGTGTGCTTTTTTTCCCCCTTCCGTTTTTTTTTGTTTTTTTGTTTTGTCTGTGTGTGTGTGGGGGGGGGGGGGGGGGGGGGCTTTCAGCCGACGACATGTGTTGGGGAAACCGTTTGACGTGCGATTCCTTTGCTGTTATGTTTGTTCCTCTCGCCGTTCTGTACTTCAAGCTTCAAGATGAGTTGTTTTGTTCATTGAAGAGTCGGAAAAATGAGTAGTGAACGCCCGTGGTGAATGTCCGTGATCGCTTCCGATCACGGACATTCATCACGGACATTCACCACCAGCTGCCTCACAGGTTCTGCATCCGAAAGGGACATTGCGCGGCAGAGTCTGCACAAGTTTCCGAAAGATCAACGGGATCGTAGGAAAGCGAACGCTACAGGATTTATATGCCCCTTGCACTGTGTGAAAAGTGACTACATTGAGTTCGCAGGTGTCAGTAAGGGAGTCCCATGCCATTTAGTTTAGCGACGTTTCGTCCACTTCTTTTTTTCAGTGATAATTGTAGAAAAAAAAAATGTAAATATCGTGAAATGTAAAAAAAACAAAGAAAAACAGTTTGCTTAAGGTCTGATTGAACCTGGGTGCACTGCGTCTGAAGCGGACGCCTTTCCAATGAGCTACTCTACAGTTTTATATAGTCGTTCTGACAAAATCGTTTTATACGAGACACCATTTGGGACAACTGTCTGTGTGATGTCTTCAGCCACGAGAAGGGGCAACGACTCGGCGACGTCTTTGTGGGAATCGGCTTGGTGGTCGGGCGTGTTCTCTTTCGAAGGAAGACAAATTCGCCGGTACCGCGAACGACAGTTCTGAAGTAGACTTCCCACTCCTTTCGTTTGAGATTGGGAGAAAACATTTAATGAAATTCTATTCTTCATGCGTGCTATGTCGACATGATTCTGCATCCGTGCTATATCCAGAAACTCGGCAAAATATTTATACTCGCGCGTCTTCGCGGGAGAAAAAGTGTTTGTGGGCAATAACAGTTCTAAATTTTACTCTCTGGGTAAATATTTTAAAGTACCTACGGTTATTTTTGTAAAATATACTTGATATACTTGGAACGAGTAGCCATAGTTTCGGAATGTTTCTACTCGTTGGTACCAATTTCGAAACAATGTACTCCTGCGAAAACGGGACATGATTCTTTGTTGGAATAAAAAGACGGGGCGGCAGAAATGGGCCTCAAGCACGGTACTGTCCTTGCCAAAACGGGATGTTTGGTCACCCTACCTAGTGACGTTGACTTCGATCTAATTACACAGATTTACAGGCGTCACTCGCGGCGGTGCACCTGTTCGGTTAGGCATTAGAGCAGTCTCATAAAACGGCGAACACGCTACTAACCGGGAAAGTCTCAGATTCGTCACAAAAACATGCATGAAAAAAAAAGAGCAAAAGTTTGCCAAAACGGCACGTAAATAAATAAAAGAAAAAGGTTTGGAGATGGCGAGAGTCGACCTCGTGACGGTGACTTCGATTTAAAAAGTTAGGCC